ATAGTGCCTAAGGCACTTGACTGCTAACCAGAAGGCTGGAGGTTCAAACCCACCAGCCACTCCTCGGAAGGAAGGTTGGGCAATCTACTTCCGTAGTGTTACTGCCTCAGAAACCCAAGGAGGGGTTTCTATGAGTAGGGTCTGACTCAATGGCACATAACAACAACATTTGGGAATGAAAGCTGAAATTGCCAGAAGTCATTACTTCATTTCTAGGTTTTGCTTTCAAAAGACTATACCAATTGAGGAGGTTATGCTACAAGGAGACATTCCTGGTTCTGGGAGTGTTTGGGTTCCTACCCCAGTTCCTCCAGAAAAGCCTAAAGAGGAATAATTCATTGGCACCCCTTGGATGGCTGGACCCAAGGCACTAAGACTGCCAACCTCAGCCAAACAGCCAAGTTCTCTTGCCCAAGTATGGCATGGGAGCACAGAGCTATTAGCTTTCAAGAAACAGTTCTTCAGGGGCACATCAGAGTGCCCATGTGAACTAAAACTAAAAGGGCTACCTCCAGATATTCTGAGATCCCAAACCAAGTGAAATTTTTCTTGTATGAAACAAGAGGAGTCTCAAAATGACTTAGATGGAATCTTATATTAACCCAATGGAATAGAGGCTTGATGGCATATTTAATGTGATTTTAGAAAAATAAAGTAATGGTGTACTTCTTGAACTCTCAACCCAATTGAGAGACCTCATATACACTAGGTTCAAATTTATTAAGTGCTTACTATGACTAGGTTCTGCACTGAGCAGGAGGTCCTATGAAGCATGGCAAAATGTACCTTGATAAGTTAGGTGCAAAGGAGAAAAGGCTTCATGGAGGAAGTAAGACTGATTAATCATTTAGCCAGAATTTTAGCCCCTCAGATTACGTATCTTTTATAATTTTTTTTTCCTTAAGTAATATACTATATGTCAAAAGCATGATGCAATACTATGCAACATCATAATGAGGAAGCTGTAGCATGAATGCTGTAGTCAGATTGCCTATGTTCAATTCCTGGTTGCACACTTTTACACTAAGTGACCTTGGGCAAGTCACTTTCTCTTTCTATACTTCAAGTTACTATTCAGAGAAATATGGGTAACAACAGACTTTCTCATAGGATTGCTATAAAGATGAAATGTTATAATGCATATTAAGCACCGAGAACAATACATGACCCTTATCTTATGCTGCCTCATTTTCTAAAATAATTAGCATTTTTCATAATAATATGCATTTTAAAAAGATAACTTTTCGTATCAAAAGCCACTTTTGAAATCTAGACTAAGCAGCATCTAAGGCATAATTAAGCAAATTTTTTTTTCCCTACAGTCCCTGAAAGGGCCTTTGAAAAATCCGACAGTCTCTGTTATGTATTAAATTGTGTCCCCCAAAATGTATGCTGGGATCGTAACTCCTATACTGATAGATGTAAGCCTGTTTGGAAATTGGGGTTTCTTTGTTATGTTAACTAGATCACACAGAGTAAGTGGATTAAAATCTAATCACTTCTGATTCTAAAAAGAACAGATAAGACACAGACACAGGAAAATAGAGTCTATCTGACCACAGAGGCACATGAATCTTCAATCTGAGGAACTCCAAGGACTGCTCACTAAAAGAAGCCAAAATAGACAAAAAAGCACCTCCCCCTAGAGCCACATCCTGAACTTAGATTTACAGCCTCTTGAACTGTGGGAAAATAAATTTCTGTTCTTTAAAGCTGCCCACTATGGTATTTCTATTACAGCACACCTAGAAACTAAGACAGTCTCTTTTTGGAAGTTCGTTTAAATTCTGAATGATATCAGAGAGGTGTTCTACTTTTCTTGTCCAGTTGCTGTAAGTTTGGATCATTTGTGCATCAGAATCTCAAACATTAGCCAGAATAATGAAAGAATTGAAAGTATAAGCCCAAAGAAAATACAATTTTATAATCTTATAAAAGTGTCTTATGTAAAGAATATTTTATATATGGGTACAATATTATTGCTTTATGACAAGGGGAAAAATCACTACGTACCATTCCAGTAACAAAGCCATCATCAAGAGCAAGAGAAAGATGTCTCATCTGATGACTTTGGAAGATGCACACATTCCCTTTGTTGAAAATAACATCAAAAAGACCTGGAAAACATTTTGTTTATTAACAAGTAATTCTTCATTTTAAAGGTTTTTTTTTATTATTATTATTTTCTTAGTTATTTATCTATTGAATCTCCTAACGATACATTTTGTGCTATCCCTCAATTAAAAGATAAAAATGCCAGTAACCTTTGATTATCTACATGTTGCTTGGCAATTTGATGGGATTTCCATGGAAATTTTCTAATGCCTTTCATATGGTAGGCAGTAAGCCCTTGAGACAAACAAAGTCTCCCCCCCCACCCACCACCACTAATAGGAAAAAACCTCTTGGAATTGTTTCTAGGAAAGTAAATTAACCTAGCATAAAAAACTATTTCTGACACTTGAGGTAAAATCAAATATGCATTATAAAAACAAATGCAAATGATTTGGGCATTAGTGACCTGTTTATAAGATGATGATGATGTCATCATCATATTTTTTATTGGTTTTAACTTTTCACATATATTTTTATCTTGAAATATAAACTTCTTTAGGGCATGAATTTTTGTCTATTCTATGTGCAATTATAGTCCATTGTTTACAATAGTGCCTGGAATATAGCACTATTGCTGTATTCTTAGTAGTAATAGAATGGAAATAGAACTCAGAAGTTCAGATTTCAGCCAAGTACTCTTTGAATTGCTAATAGTCTTTCTCTATTGTTTATAATCAAGAAACTAATTTTCAGGAATACACTCTGTCATAGCATCAGTAAAGAAAGAAGACGTTTCTTTTTACAAATACAAAATTCTCAAAAAATGCATGAAAGAAGTTGGGCAGGAAAAAATACATTTTATACATGTTTAATTTATATAAAATTCAAAAACAGGAAAATTTTTTTAAGAGTCTTAGGAGTCAAGGCAGTGGTTATCCATGGGCAAATCATCTTGTCTATCTCTATCTCCAATTCCTCATCAATAAAATCAGGACAAGAATTTTCAAGGAACTTTTGTTCAGATGATTCACCTATTATGTCCACTAATGAGTTAATGAAAGAAGAAATTGAAAACTAGGAAAGTGCTACTGACAATGTGCTAATAATAATAATAATAATTATTATTATTATTTAATTCAGCCTTCCCTTTGATCTGATGATTTCATAAATACCAGAATCTAAATCTGTAAAACTATAAAGGCATAATGTATCATTTTTTAGGTAAGGTTTCAATAATTAAATTTACATAATTTTTGTTGTTATGATTTTTTTTTAGTTTATAAAGAATATAAAATATTAATTCTATGAAGGAATAGCTGTTTATCTGTTTGCTCATGACTGTTAGTCCCATACCTAAGACATTGTCTTGTCTATAATAAGCACTTTATAAATACTTGTTGAATAAATAAATTCTTACTGCTGAGAAAAAAATCAAGGGCCCCTATTTTAAGAATTTTAACATGATATAAAATGTCCTTGAATTTGGAAGCTTAATGTTGTGAGATTTAATTAAAAATATAAACATGTAGTCCCTAACTTATGGCAGGATTCCCTTCTTACAACTCTATATAGTAAGTCAACTCTGATGTAAGTCAAAGTCTTCATTTTTTTTAAAAATTTTCATTAATCATTGCCTTCTATTATTATTATGTTTATAAATCTAATCTTTTTTTGGGGGGTTGGAAACATTACATATAAACTTACAGATATATTTAATACATACATACAAGTATACATAAAAAATACACAAATCATAAAAATTCACTCCAACAATGAAAAAGAGTTGCACAATATTGGCATTTTTTATTTGTGGTACTAACTCCATTTATGGTAGGTTGTGGGTCATCTGGATTATGTCTGGGAATGGGAATGATATTTCTAGTCAGAAATTTAGTGAGCAATGTCTATATGATCCTTTTCTTCTTTTCGTCATATATTTCACTAGATCCAATTGATGTTATTATTTGGCAGGACTTTAAGTTTATGTATCCCTTATTTTTAGAGATAAGAACACTGACATCTCACTGCTTCCCAAATCTGGTTATTGACTTTAGCAAAGTAATCATCAGCATTTGGGTCCATCTTTTCAAGCAATTGAAGCCCCTGACTTAGTTTAGAAAATGAAATCTATACAGCAGTCTTTTGAATAGTAAATCATTAAATGAACATCTGAGAATGATAACATCAGCAAATTACACACTGTAATACATATTACTAATTATAAGATATAAAAGAAAAAAAAAGGATAGTTATAAGTTCTGTTTGCCATAACTCTAATATATTGTAAGTTGAAGACTATAGACTACATATATTAGCAGCAGAATCTTTCTTTTCCAGTAAAATTATAAATAAATCAATGTAATAAATAAGATCTTCAGGAGATCTCGATCTTGTCAAATATCAGAAAAATACATTATTGTTGGACAATTCTAAAATACTTTCATGCACCTGTAGAGCTTCATAAAGCACACTGTAGGGGGGGAAATGGGTTAGGGAAAGAGTACAAAGATGGGAATCTGGATATATGATTTCCAGTTCTGGCTCTGCCAGTAAAGATTTTAATCATTCATTTAAATAATGTTTATTGAGCACCTGTATGCGCAAGGCATATTTTCAATTGTAAGCTAGATAAAAATTGTCAATGTTCTCATCTCTAAAAATAAGGGATAAATCTACATAATCTTCACGTTCCTGCCAAATAATAACATTGGCCGTCAAGTCGGATCCAACTCATAGTGACTCCTCTTTGGGTTTCCAAGGCAGTATCACTACGGAAGTAGATTGCCCAATCTTCCTTCTGGTGAGTTTGAACCACCAGCCTTGTGGTCAGCAGTCAAGTGCTTTAGGCACTATGCTACCAGAGCTCCTCAACTGCATCTGTTGTTGTTGTTATGTGCGGTCAAGTCGGATGACTCATAGCGACCCCTCCTTAGGTTTCCAAGGCAGTATCGCTACGAAAGTATATTGCCCACACTAATTTCACCTAAACAAATGCTAACTGCCCACATGCAACAGGAACATTTCAGTCCTTATTTCACTTTGCCTCTATACTACATTTGACTGTAGACACATCCCCACTTGAAACTCCAACCCTCTGTCTCACTACTTTGTTCTTTATCTGCTACCTCATTTTTTGTTGCCCTCTGATGCAGAGCATTCTATCCTCAAGTGATTTCCCTTCTCACTCCTCACAGGGTTTCTGCAAAGTTTCAAAGTTTAATAATCACTAAATTAAGAAACATTAAATCTATATCTCTAGTACTCTTCTCTCCTTCAATTTCAGACTTACTGACTTGATAAGTATAAACAATTGCAAGTCTCATAAATAGGTAAGGAGACCAAGGAAAATTCACAGTGACAAATTCTGGGACTGGTTATATTTTTCCTTATTCAAGCTGAGAATAATCCATACAAGATCATTAAATATATATATATATATATATATATATATATTCAGCACAAAGGAGGAGGAGTATCTACTTTTGTGTGGCAACATTTTACTATAGTGTTACCTTCAACATACCATGTAAATTATTTACTGAACAAGCCATGAAAAAAATTTGGAAAAGTTTGGCTTGAAAGTTTTAGAAGGATTCAAAAAATTACATTCCCTAAGAAACAATCCTCTTTAAATCCTCACTTTAATTGAAACTAAAACTAGAATTTATCAATAATGTATTAGAGGTACAATGATAATGTAAATGATCGCTCAAACCAGGACACTTTTGAGAGTGAAAGTGGTTACTGACCAGATGACACAAAGTGTGGGCAAATAAGGGAGTATGGTCACTAACTAAAGTTGTGTTTTATGTAAGAGAAAGACTTTAGTCTTGCATTTAAAATTTGAAAAATGGGTGCATTTTTTATTTTAAATTTATATAAAAGTTTGTTGTTGTTGTTATATGCCGTTGAGTCAGCCCAGACTCATAGCGACCCCTCCTTGGGTTTCCGAGGCAACAGAAGTAGATTGCCCCATCTTCCTTTCAAGGAGTGGCTGGTGGGTTTGAACTGCCAGCCTTCTGGTTAGCAGTCGAGTGCCTTAGGCACTATGCTACCAGAGCTCCTATAAAAAGTTTAAAGTATGGATTTTTTTTTTTATTACTATTGTGTTTTTGTTGTTAGGTGCCTTTGAGTCAGTTCCAATTCACATTGACATTATGCATAATAGAACAAAACGTTGCCTGGTTCTCCACTATCCTCACAATCATTGCTATGTTTGAACCCATTGTTGTAGCCACTGTGAGTCTAAGACAATCAGGCACCACTGATAAAAGTATAATTTGATATAACTCTTCTGGAGATGTGACAATATATATGAAGTGCTTTAAAATTGTCTTTATCATTAACCTAGTAATTCTGTTGTTAGAAATCTTTGCCAAAAAAAAAAATAGAAGTACATAAGTATATCAGACATGGTGGAACATTTATGTTTACAGAAATAGAGGAGTAGGTGAGCATCATATCCATCTGTCAAATCTATGCAACAGAGTATATATAATTTTAATGCCATTGAACAATATTTTATATTATGGAAAATACTAATGTAATAATATTAAGTAGCAAAATTAAAATGCTATGTTGAATATTCTGCCTAGCCAATTGTGCTTTTTCAAAATTATATTATATGTAGTTTGTATATTTATATTGCTATGCTTGCAAGACTAGAAGAAAATATATTAGATTCACTAGTTATTATCACTAGATAATTGGTTAATAGACCATTTAAATTTTCATACTTACGCTTTAATGCATTTTCCAAATAATTTACAATGAGTATTATTACTTTAAAAATTAAGAAGAAAAGTTATCTCAAATATCAAATAAATAAGACTTTCTAAAAGAGTTTAAAAAGAGATGAATACCTCCAAATTATAGAGAAGAAAGAAAAAAAAAGAAAATTTGTATAGGAAAAGAAAGGAAGTAGATCCTTATAGCAAAAACCAGAAAGCAAAAGAAACAAAAAATATAATGCAAGATATCAAAAGATTAAACATATAATCTTTGATTTAAATGAGCATAGATTTTCCTACTAAAGCAAAGATACTCAAAATTAGCTTGTATT